CACTCAAAGGCCAGCCCTGCCAAGATGAACCATGCTGGCTGTTTAGAGATGAAATCCCAAACCTTGCTGTCAGCAGGGAAGGAGAAGCAGGTGGAAAGGAGCTTCCTTTCCTCTTCCATTCTTCTGGCCTCTCATCAGTACCAGGGCTTGAACTATTCTTTTCCTTTTATTCCCTAAAGGAATATTTAACTTGCATTTTAGAAAAAAGCTATTATTATTATTGTTGTTATTATTATTATTATTGTTATATACAGATTTATCAGTGAAACTCTTCAGGGGGAAAGCTTTTGTCATCCGTGAAAGTGCAGCACAAAGAAACCTGGCCTTATCTTACTAATTACTCCAGTGCCTCCCCAAATCCTATCAAGCTGCTTGTTATTAATCAGTTAGAACAGTGTTGCCTGTATGGCAATATAACATATGCCAGGATGAGATCTGTTTACAGAACTCAGGCTTTGGCAATGAGCAGGAGCTGCTGATGCCAAGAGGAGCAGTGTTGCTACAGTCTATCAGCCAGATCAAGGGCCGGCAGACACGTGAGATTTCAGGCACTGGATCCAGAGGGCTGTGGATATCATGCCCACATCTGCCTTTCCCACATTGCCCCTAAAATAATCATATTGTGAGTTAGCCTTGAGCCCAAATGAAAAATGGGATAGATGTGGATGTAAGTCTGTTGGGGGTATCAAACACTATGGTGCACATCTGATGTTCCATGAAAAGACAGAGGTAAGGCTCCATGATCTCAGAGGTCTGTTCCAACCTAGTTGATTCTGTGATTCTGTAAAAGAGGCTCTTTTACCCTCTACCTGCCTGCTGATTTCATACCTGTATCCCAGCAGTGCAGAAGAACTGAGAAAATCTTATCACCAAGTGGTTTTGCTGTCATCACTGTGAAGTTTCTCTGTGACAATGTATGGATAATATAAGGGCAGAAGTTATTCTGTCAAACCTATCCAACCAGCTCCTTCTCTGGTGGAGGCTCAGAAGTTCACTAACAAATTTCCTGATCCAAGCCCCAAGGTACACAGTGCTAATGCAGTCAGCAGTGGCATGGTCTCTGTTCTTGGAGGAGCATGAGCAAGCTCCTCTCAGATGGGTTACTGCTAGTCTTGACTTAACTCTTCCAGAAGATTCCTGCTTAAGGCGAGTGAGAATTTTGCTCTGAAAAAAGCTGCTGCAATGAAAACAGAGAGCAAAGCAAATCTGCAGCATTCCTCTAAAAGACAAGTGCCTACTGAGGAAAAAGCTGCACATGTTGATGAAGAAAGCTGAACAAAAAGGTTTCACTAGAAAGTGATTGTGATTTTTGCCAAGCATAGAATTAAAGATCTACAAGAGAACAACTTACTTTGGGTGGGGGTGAGGAAATATATAAGAAACAAGAGAAGTATCATCTGATCTGTCTCTTGAGACATCCTTCTACTTCATGGCAATCAGCAACTCAGAGTGAAGCTGAGCCCATCCCTCTTTCCAGGAGAATGTCAAAATGTTTTGTTAACAGTGGTGGGTCAAGTTTCACAGCCAGGCTGAAAAACAGGAAATTACTACTATTGCTATCTATAGGTCATGAAAAAAGAATTTACCTACAGTCTATTAGGGGCAACACTCAGAAGAGAATCCAGGAAATCTTGTGGTTTATCATCTGCTTTTTGCATAATTTCATTTTCTGTCCCCAGAAGGCAGTGCAGTGTTATAGGTACACTGCACTCAGTGAAAATACTTCAAGCAATAGCCCACAGTAATCTCATAATTTTGTTTTGTCCTTATTTTCTTCAATGATCAACATTGCCTCTTTCATTTTACACATTACTCCTTTCCCATTTCAGATTCAGTATTTCCAGTCTGGAAAGATAATGCTTTCGCAAGAAAAAATAGAAGTAATTCTGCTGACTTGAAATACAAGCTGGTCTGAGTCTTTTGTAATGAAGGAAGAATACTGGCTAGATATATGAAGTTATCCTCTATCCAAGGTGTGCTGTGGGATCTTAAATATCTATCTGGACAGGACATGGGGAGAGCAGATGGAACTTCAGTTTAGCATTTATCCTAGCAGCAGCGTTCAGTAAGGCAGCAATGTCTCTGAGTCCAAGCCCAAGCCCTAGCTTAGTAAAACCTGAGTTGACCTTCTAGCCAAGGAGTAAGAGTACTGTTGAGTCAGCTGTATAACAATGCAGAGGGAGATGGCAATGGCTCATAAATCTGTTTTGTATTTTAGCATGCCATTAAACTGCTCATAATTAGGACAAAGCACAGGATGAAACCCTAGGCAGGCACTGATGCTGCCCTTATTACCTGTGGACTGATCCTCCTCTCGCTCGCACTCCATCAGTGATTTGCTGGTGTTCCTCTGGTTTACTTTGCTGCAGTGAGGAGATGAATCTGGCCCAGAGCTCTCATATACGTTCTAATTTAATTCGTGTCTCTGTCGCCACACGGGAATTCTCATCTAGACAAAGTCCCCTCTGGGCCCTGTGCTATTTCCAAATATAGGGCCTTTTCCCATTTGTGCTGTATTTGGTGGGAAGCCCACCTAACTCTATTCATTCACATGACTTGTACCACATTTTAGGGTTAGATTTAAGATCCTCCCTCTGCCTACAGTCCATTTTAAGTACGTTGCATGTTTTATTATTCGTTTAGTTTTCTTGCACATAAATCAATATATAATGAAGCTAAGCACTTTTACACTTGCTAAGGCACTGTGCAGACATTAACTCTCCCAGGCCCCTGGAGGTGAGTAAAATAGAGATCATTACTAGCCTCTCTATCTAGGTCTATCCAGTGCATTCCACAGCAGAGTAGGGACACAATGGATTTTACAAACAGACAAAACGAGGCTGGGAGATTACAGAGCAAGCTGTACTAGGACAAGGAAGAATATGACCCAGAGAATTCAGCATGTGCTTACTGCAGCTGAAAAGTGCACAGAGCATCCCCCCCCCGTATACCATGAAGCTGTGCCCCCAAAAATGGACTTTGGATGTGAGCTGGATGCAGAGCCAAGGCCAGTGGATTTATGTGGGCATGATAATCACTTCCTAATTCTACCCCACGAGGGATATGCCTTCAGAAAGCAGGCAGACCAAAAGATTTATGGAGATGATTGCTTTTCTTTGGGGCCCATGCCAAATGTTCTGGTGCGTTAGGCTAGAGATGGAGATGCAGTGATTTGCACAAGGTAATGTAACAGAACGGGCCAAGGAACTGGAGTCACAGAGGTTCTCCAAGTGCAATCCCACAGAGCATCACCATGGCAGTGGTGTTCTCTTCTACTGATTGACAGACTCATGTCAGGTACATTCCTAAGCTCTTGAAAGGACAAACCTATGAAATGAACCATTCCCCTATTCCAGCAAACCCAAATGTCACAGATGACACCCCAGGGCAACACTGTTCCATGAGTAAATACTTGGGAATATGTAAGGAGCAAACCTGAGGGGAAAGGAGGAAACAAAGTGTGACGGAGTAACCTAGGGGTGAGCAATTGCTATAAAATCCCTCTGTGCCCTGCCACAGAGAATATGGGCTTGCTAGAGCCTGAAGCTCACACAAGAGCAGCTCACAGTTGTTAATTCCAGAGAACCAAGCTCAAATCCTGCTGTGTTGGCCAGGATGGAGGCCAATCACAATACAAGGCAAATCCTTTTAATATGTTGCATATCATTGCAGTAATCCAAGACAAATCTCAGAAAAGAATGTGACTTTTGCAAGAGTATTTTTGTCACTGTGAAAATTATTCCAGTGAAGAAACAGCAAAATTATCTTAGCAGCATTCAAGTTGCCTGTCAGCCTTCGAGTGAGAATCCCTGGGCAGGAGTCTGAGGAGGCCACAGCACCCAAGAGGATGCCAGGGAATGCTGCAGTTCCTGCTGACTTCTCAGCACAAAGGCAGAGAAGACAACTACACTGCTCAGCACCAATAATGAATTTACTTTTCTATTCCAGGAGACCAACTCCATTTGTTGTAAAATCTACCACAGCTTCTTTATAGCCCTTTCTGACTTCCAGGGTCTAATAGCACATGCTGAACACGTCTGCAAGTTTCTCGTTTTGCTATCATCAAGTTTAGAAATACACCCTCTTAAAACATAAAAGCTGAGGTTCAAATGACTCCAGATTATAACACTTTAAGAAAAACATTAAATATTTCCAGACATAATAAAATGCACTTTGGTAACAACAACTCCTTGTGGTGCTACAGGCTGGGGGCAGAGTGGCTGGAAAGCAGCCCAGCGGAAAAGGAGTTGGGGGTGCTAGTCAACAGCTAAATATGAGCTGGTGTGTGCCCAGGTGGGCAAGAAGGCCAATGACATCCTGAAGTGTATCAGAAATAGTGTGGCCAGCAGGACCAGGGAAGTGATTGTCCCTCTTTGCTTGGCACTGGAGAGGCTCAAATCCTGGGTTCAGTTTTGGACCCCTCACTGCAAGAAACACACTGAGGGGCTGGAGCAAGTTCAGAGAAGGGAATGGAGCTGGGGAAGGGTGTGGAGAGCAGGTCCTGTGAGGAGTAGCTGAGGGAGCTGGGGGAGCTCAGCCTGGAGAAAAGGAGGCTCGGGAGGGACCTTCTCACTCTCTAAAACTACTGCCTGAAAGGAGGTTGTAGCCAAGTGGGGGTCGGGCTCTTCTCCCAAGTAGCAAGTGACAGCAGGAGAGGAAATGGCCTCAAGCTGCGCCAGGGGAGGTTCAGGTTGGACATCAGGAAGAATTTCATTACTGAAAGGGTTCTCTTGCATTGGAATGGGCTGCCCTGGGAGATGGTGGAGTCAAGAAACAATGGACGTGGCACTCAGTGCTCTGGTTTAGTTGACAAGGTAACGATCAGTCAAAGGTTGGACTCGATGATCTCAAAGGTCTTTTCTAACCTACATGATTCTGCAGTTCTGTGTGAAAACTGTGAGAAGAGTCAATACCTATGACTATTCATTAAATAACTTACATCAAATCCTGACTCAGTTGCCAAGAAAGTACTGTAGGTCTAATCAGAAATTTCCACTTACCTAGTGAAGGCAGGAAAATTAGCCCTCTTTCACCTGTGGTAATCCATGCTGATCTCTGGGTTTCTGTATTGCCATTACACAGGAGAGAACTGATCAGATGGAAAAGGTGGATTCTGGGTCCTTTAAACATGTTTTCAGGGTATAAGAGTTCAAAAGCTGGAAAAAAAAAGTGATTTTAAAAAATACTAAATAAGTTGCTGATTGCAAAAATCTCTGAATTAGAAGAATGTCTTATATAATGAAAAGATGCAGATGAAATCTATAATGAACAAAAAAAGTAATTTAAATTGTTCCCCAAGGAAAATAACCCAAAGTGGATCTCCTGAAAGCAGCAAAGAAACTCACAGAAACAAAGACTAATTTACTGTTTTTTCTTGGAAAACATAACTGCAATTCACACATTGCAGACACACCATCAGAATGGTTTACTATGAAAGCCATTCTGAAAAAGAAAACAGTGCTTGACACAGGATTTGAAGCTATCAGTACAGCCCTAATTTCTAATGTCTAAATGCTTATCTCTTTTAATTCTAAATGAAAATTCTCAACACCCTTAATAGTATCTAACAGTTCTACAACACTTTTCACCATTAAGTCTTAAAATGCCTTACAAAAGGTTAGAGACATTATCTCTATTTTACGAAAAGGAAAACAAGCATGGAGAACTGATTTGCCCAGACCCACCGAACAGACTGGGAGCAGATACAGAGCTGTGATCCATCCTCCTGTGTGTTCTAGTCCTGAGGAAATTAGCATTCCCTCTAATTGCATTTTTATTTCCTTTTAGAGAGCACATAGGAATATCTGGAAATTTAGGAGCAATTTTTAAAAGTGCTTTTGGGGAAAAGGAAGATTTTAGTCACTCATTATATGACTAAATTAATGCACATAGAAAAACACTCTTATGAATATAAAATGTGGCACACACTCCACATTCTAGGCTATTTAATATTTGCTCTGAAACTCTGAATCAAATCCCTCAACTCAATATTGTTTACAATTTATTCAAACTTCAGTTGATGAGACAACACAGAGGTTCTCTTCAGTTTACAAGTGGCTGTGCTCTGCTGATGCCACCTTCAACAACAGCTGGTCAGGACTTTTGTGGTTCTCTGCCACATCCACCTCCTGATACTTTCTGAATATCAGTACCTATCCATCCCAGCTCTGAAGGGATACTTGAATCAATTCCACTGCGTGTTTCAAGGCATATATTTAGCACAACAATCATTTCAGAGCTTTTCCTTACCACTTTAATTCTGTCTCAACCTTAATTCAGGAACTTAACAACATCCATTGATTATCTGGTTACAGAGTCACTTTCCATACATTCATATATGCAGGTGTTATTATATATATATTGAGCTACAAATCAATTTCACCAACATTTGTAGGCTTACAACATAAACTCTCCTGCAAATTAAAAAAGACTTTGGGCAACTTGACAAGGCAAGGCTGAAGCTGGAGAATGCTCATCACCAGAATTAAAATTGCCAGCATCTAATTGACCCTTCCACTTCCCTTTAAGTCACAGAGATGGGAAACACAGGCTCCCTGAAACATTCCCAGCTCTGGCTGGGAGTACTGGCACATTCCTGACATGGGGAATAGCTAACCCATATATTAGTGTCTGGGGTAATAGTAGATATTTAACAACTCACACCAGAAGAAAACAGAAAAACATTTTACCAGGTGGGAGAGCTCGAGTAGGTAGACGGGATATAATTATACTCACTGGAATTTAGCCAGAACACTTGATCAAATACCCCCAACATCCCCATTAAAGCCTTAAAAACAGTTGCAGGTACTTTTCAAACTTAGGTAAAAGCGCCTTGTCCGTGTTGGTGTGCAGTAAAACACCAACAGGGTCACTGAGGCTTGCAGGGGAGTTTTAAGTGTGTGTTATAGGTATTACCACATACCTACCAATATTTGAAAACGGAGCATCAGTAGAATCTACTGAACACACATTTGCATAAATATGCATCAATTTGCATCAGATTACACAAACTCTTGGTCATTTTCCCTATGCATTCCCTGCTCAGGCCGAACACCTCATCTCTCCCCAGGGCTGCTTTTCCCTCGCCGGCAGCCTGCCATGAGGGAATAATGGCCCTTGGAGTGGGGGAGAGCAGCACCGTGAGGGGAGCAGCCCCCTCAGAGACGGCGAGAAAGCCTCAGCACCGTGAGGGGAGCGGCCCCTCAGAGAGCGGGAGAGGGTCTCGGCACTGTGAGGGGAGCAGCCCCCTCAGAGACGGCGAGAAAGTCTCAGCACCGTGAGGGGAACAGAGCCCTGAGGTGAACGGCCCCCTAAAAGCATCTCAGTCCCGAAGCCATGAGGGAAAAGCCCTGGAAACGGGAGAGCCCTGAGGCTGCAGGTGCGGTAGTTTCTCGGAGCAGGAGTTCTGAGGTGAGCAGGTCTCCGTCCTGTGAAGAGCAGCTGCCCAGGAACCACCTGAAGAGAAAATGGAGGCTGCGGAGGTACCTGGGGTGACAGAAGGGGAGCTGGTCGGGCTCGTCCGAGTTTTGTGGCAGTGCTGGGAGGAAGAAGGGTCAGGGAAGGTCAGGGATGGGCTTTGGAAGGGTAGGGAGCACAGCCAGGGGTGGGCTTTGGAAGTGCAGCGAGCACTGCCAGGGGTGGGCTTTGGAAGTGCAGCGAGCACTGCCAGGGGTGGGCTTTGGAAGTGCAGCGAGCACTGCCAGGGGTGGGCTTTGGAGAGCAGCCCCGTATCCTCAGGTGGGTTCGGTGTGTGGAGAAGGAGTAGAGCCCTGGCTGGCAAGTGTCGGGTCAGGGCCTTTGAAAGGGGAGGAGTAGGAGTCTGCCTGAGGGAAGAACAGAGCCCAGCCCGCCTCTCCTGAGGGGCAGCTGCTCCTGCCTTGGAAACGGGGCAGTGATCACACCGCAGTGTCTGCTGAGGTTCCCTGTAGACAACTCAGTCGCTCTGTGCCCCCTGCCCTGTCTGAGGGTGTTCCTGTAGCTCCGGTGGCCAAAGCCACGCTCTGTTCTGTACTGCTGGAGGGTTTGGGTCTAACTCTTGCTTTGTGGTGCAGGTGGGAGGTCCAGAGAGGCCCAGAGAGGCCCGGTCGTGCACCTGGAGCTCAGGGCGAGTACCTGCTTGTGAGCAGTGTTGCTGTTTGAAATGCAGGGGCACTGAGAAATCCCAGCACTCTGCTCCTGAGAAAGCTGTTCTGGAGGCCGGCAGATGGGAAATGTCATGACCAGGAGGAAAATGAATGAGGTAGGCTGTGGTCAGCAGGATGCTGAATGTTCTGAGCAAAATGATCTTTAGGGTTACTATGGTATCTCTAGGGATGCTGAACTGAGACGGTAAAGTAGTTCTGGGCTTGTTCCAGTGTGATTAAGATCAAAGTCTTTTAAAAACAATGGTTTTGTGGTTAAGGCATTGGACAGTGGCTCAGTGACTGTGGCCTCATTCCCTTCTCCCTGATTGGCACTCTGGACAAACTGGAGCAAGTCTGTTAATTTATCTGTGCCTCACTTGCACATCTGCAAAATTTTTACTCTGCCAGTTAAATCAGCAACATCTCTTCCTCTCTGAATGTACAGCCCCTAGTGTGGTGATGGTCTGCCATTCTCAGTGGGGCTAAATTAACTGAGGAGAATAAGTCACTTGGTCAAACAAGGCTTTATAAATGATGATTTTATTTAACTGTAAATGTTTATTAGATGAGATATGAAGGTGAGAAAAAATATACATATATAGAAATTCTTAAATGGAGAGATTCCCAAACCCTTGTACTAGGGAGCGGTTGATATTTAAATGGCACTGTTGAGTAAGAATAAAAATAGTTTCACTACTCATGTCTTGTAGAAGTCTCTCACGACCCTGCAAATGATTTCTCTCTGTACTGATTTTTTCCTTTTCCCATTCACTGAGCAATGATTATTTCCCATGCTTTTAAATGGAGCTGAAATTAGCTTGGTTATTTTTGTTTAACAACAACAACCTCAATGCATGTTGTGCTTTTTATCCTGCAAAAAGAGCTTTGTTTGTTCCCTGGCATTGGAGATGATGTCAGCAAAGCTCCTGGAAGAGCAACTGCTGTTAGCTAATTGCTGTCTGCTTCACAACCAGCAAAGGCAGGAATGAAACCAAGGTACCTTTGTGCCCCCTGTGCTTATATTCCAGGGTGTCACTTCATTACAATGCAGTAACACAAGGTAGGCATGAAGTAGTTAATATATAACGAGGATATATCAAGATAGTTTTCAGAATTAAGTTATTCTTCTGCTCAGTAACAATAATAATAATAATAGTAAGAGGTAGACAATTCCTGCTTTTTATGTTCAGAGGTGAAACTTCTGAGCAAAATACAGGAGATGGGAATATCTGAAAGGATAAGCCCATTTACACAGTCTGGCAGGATTTTGCATGTGAGGTTGATTTTTTGTCAGTTCACATAAGAGCAAGAAACTGTATTTTTGTCTGTTTGTTTTGTTGGGAGCATTATTCATCCATCTAGGACATTATCAATCTAATACATGCATCCTATTTCTACTAAAATCAGTGAGACAGACCCTGAGAAACAAGGGCAGAAGATAAATACTGTGAAGACAGAAGAAAATGTCTTCCTTAATTCCTGCTGGCAGCAGTTCATTGTGTCATGCAGAGTGCTAAGGTCTAATTGCATAGAGATGGCCAGCCCTCATACAGGAGTTTATCTCTTTTGGCAGACTAGTAACTGGGAGAATGGTGACTCCCCAACCCTGCAGTCCCGTGAGCCAAAGGGTTAATTTTTATTCCTGCTGTGGTTTCTCAGACTCTCTCCTTTGATGGAATCCGCATTCAGATTCTCCAGCAGTGAAGAAGAGGGCAGGTTTTTCCCTTCCAGGCTTTCATTATGTTGCAGTTTTCATGATTTTCCAGGGCTGCTGGGTTCATGAAAATTAATGCAATTCTGCCAGACTGTTTCCTTCGTTTCTGATGTGCCCTGATGCATTATGAAACCATTCAAGGGACTGAAATTTCCCTTCCACTGAGATCGAACCAACAGCGTTTGGTTCGTGATTTGTTTCTGGAGACTTCCTTACGACTCTGGTATGGTTCCAAATAGCCCAGCAGAATGAACTGGAGGAGTCTTCTGTGCTTGGGACCCTTCCCTCCAAAGCTTCTTCCCATTTGATGGCACCAGCTGACTTTGCTGGGAAGTGTTACATGTACTCAACAGGCAGATTTTGCAGATATGTCTGTTCTGTAGTATTTCAGAAACATTTGTTGTCCTTTCTCTTCCTGGACAAGGAGAGGGAAACAGACAGTGGACAGGGAATATTTAGCAGATTGGAGTTTTCAAAGGCAACCAAAGACTGAAGCAATTGGTGCAGTGAAAAGAGAATACTTTCTTCTCTGATGTATACTTTTATGTCCTCCAGTGATGGCATCTTAGCTGATGGTAAGCTCAATTTTAGCTGGGGGAATTTCCACTGCAGGCAGGGGTTTACTCTAGTGCTTTATTGATTGCTATAAAATAGTCCTGTATTTCTGAGAAAATCTTCTGTCGGGCACTCGCAGTTTGGATTTCTTGATTGTGTCATGCCTGTGTCTTGTGGCAGAAAAAGTAAATGCTGAAGAAGAGAAAAGTTGATTTTGAATGTAAAGGAACATGGAAAATCAGAACTGAACTTGATCATGTGTACTAGAGGGGAATAAAGGTTTCCCTGAAAACTGTCAGGTAAACCCCTGTGAGGAGGAGTCCATCCTGAATATGAGGGTGACTGGGAGCCAGGAGCTGTGCTCAAAACAAGCCAGTGTCTTTATATTGGCAGGCCATGAGAACCCATCCTGGAAGGCCAAATGAGCACGATGATAAGCTTTTATTTTTATAATTTCAGTGTATACTTTGAATACATAGGCTCCATCCAGGATCTTTTCCCTGCCCTTTGACAGTGGTGTCTAGGTGTGACCAAGCCATCTTCAACCATATGGAAGTTAAAATGGGGGCACAGTGCAGGCTTTTCACAGGGGCTCCTCTCTTCAATAAATAAAGTGTTGCACAGGATAAAGCCACACTGTGCTTCTGTCTGCATTGCTTTTGCTATGTGAGCTGTCTAAATTTGAACTAGCTGAAGGATGCCAGTATATGCTGCAATCCTGATTGCACTGTAGTCATACCTGCAGAGAGGAACAAGCTCAGGAGTGCCCCAGCTTCATCATTCACATTGCAACATCAGTGGGGAAAGGGCTCTTCCAAGGAGTTCTCCCCTGCCCTACTTTTTGCATTATTGGATTTCTATCCAGTGGCTCAGTAACCTGTAAAGATGGCCAAGGGGCAACTTACCTGCCTTCCCCTCCTCTGTTCTCTCCTGACCGATTTGCTGAAAGAACAGATAAAAATTCCAGTGAGTGTCTCCTTGTAAACTCACAGATAAAGATTAAGGGACCTCTTCCAGCTCCCTCTTCATTTCCTAGTGGTTTCCTCAACAGCCCCAGAACACTTTTGTAACTTTTCAAGGATGTAAATGAGCCAATTCCTGTCTCTTCAGGTATTTCCAAGTAGAAGTCAGGCAAGCACCACCTCTTCCAATGATTATATACCTGTTCTCTACTGTGATCCCCTTCTGATCTGCTGGGACACCTCATACTGTTTAGCAGTGTGTGAATAGCAGGGTGCTTATGACATGCTGACATCTACTTACATCTTGCAGCTGAAAACCCTGGTTCTACAGAGAAAATTGCTGTAATTTCAGGTATAAATGCATGGAAATTCTTGGTATCAATACTGTACTGTCTTTATAATGGTGCCTGATGCTTTTTCTGGAAGAGTGGGGTGAAGCTGTGTAAGTAGGAAGTTGGAAAGGTTATTTGGTGGCTGAGTAAGTGCCCATTGGGTACTGAAGCATCTGAGATATGTATTTGTGCTTCATGCACAAATAAAAATATCTCAGTGCATCTGGCAGAAAATGAAGGGCTGGATCAAACCACAGCCGTGGGCTGTCATGGGCCGTGGTGGCAGTGCCACAGCAGGCTGCTGAGATGATGAGCTGCACCTCCATCAGCTGCCCTGATGAATCTACTGGAGGACATTGCCCACTGCTGTTGGGCTGTGGGCTGGGCACCAGCAAACTGCAGCTGCCTGTAGTCCTGACCCAGCGATGTAACAGCAGCATCCTGGTCTGTGAGCACAACAGCTTGGTGGCAAAGTCTGAACTTGACTGAAAGAGCCCATTAGCAGCATTCCTTCCTCCCTTCCTCTTCCTCACTATTCCTT